AGTCACAGCGGACAATTAGAAGCCAAGGGCATTAGCTCAGTCAGTCTCTGCCCACTGGTCAAGCGCACTTGCTGTGGCTTTCATTGTCTGACTCTGTAAGAAGCGGTTACCATGTTCGCCATACAGTTCTAGGAACGCTGCATTGTGACCACCAAGTTACCAAACATCCATTTCAAAATAAGATAACAAGGGATGTGGGAGACGGCACCTGGAGACTCCCGGCACCATAGCCACTTCAATGAGTTGAATTTATACAACTGGTTTTGCTGGTGATGCAGTATGTCTCTGTGCTGGGGATATATCATGTGTGCTGGGGATATATGTGTGTCTGTGTGCTGGGGATATATAATGCGTGTCTGTGTGTTGGTGATGCAGTGTGTCTGTGCTGGGGATATATAATGTGTGTCTGTGTGCTGGGGATGCAATCTGACTGAGGGGATGAAGTGTGTCTGTCTGTGTGCTTGGGTTACATAATGTGTGTCTGTGTGTGCTGGGGATGCTGTATGTGCTGGGGATGCAGTGTGTATGTGTGTGCTGGTGATTGGCTTCCTGTGTGCACAACAGCCATATATAACACTTATCTTTGTTGTATCCGCAGTGGTGTGGCTCCTGGCTGGAGTGGAGTTGAGTCTGAACTGTCTCCTAAGGGCTTTGCTTCTCATGATGTGAGTGGCGTCTGCTGGCGAGGGAGCCCTAATGTGCATGCGCGGCATTTGCCACGCACACATTAGACCTTTCCCAAAGGAAAACATTTATTTAATGCTTTCCTATGTGGATTCTGATAACGCTGGAGGTCCTCATACATAGCATGAGGACGTCCAGCGTCGTTTTGATGACCAAAAGTCTAAGAGGCTGGAAGTCCCTCTAGTGTCTGTCTGGTAGACAGCCATTAGAGGAGGACTTAACCCTGCAAGGTTATTATTGCAGTTTATAAAAACTGCAATAATTACACTACCAGAGTTAAGGGTGATGGCAGTTGGCACCCAGAGCACTTCAATGAGCTAAAGTGGTCTGGGTGTCTACAGTGTCCCTTTAAGGGCTTCATGGCTAACTACCCATTGAGCTGTGTGATACATTGTCTGTGAATACAGTAGGTCTTTTTGAGGTATAATTGGTTTGTGTTAAATCACCAAGAGCCAGGTTTCTTCTAAACGTTTGTTAGGTGAAACTCTGAAAATTGAATTTTGCTGTGTCAGAGTGCAGACAAGAACAATACAATTGCTTAGCAACCTACAATATTGACCAGGTTTCTATGCTACAGTGTCTCATAACTTTCTCAGCTTGGGAAAGTAATTATTATTATTATTTTTTTTAAAGAAAGAATTGTATCTGACATCACAAGTAACAATGAAGCAACCCTAAAGCCACCCACATTTCTCCAGGGAGAATTCTTGCTTAACACATGGCCCCCCTGTATGAGAGCATGTGCTACCCATATGTACTAAATCAAGATTTGATTCTAAACTGAAATACTTCTTCTGTGTATGATCTGAAGTAAGCAGAGGTCTGTTTACTCGTTTCCTGGGTGAACATGTGTGATGATTAGTTACTGTTAAAGGAACACTCTAATGTTCGGAATAGAAATTTATTCTTATGGTTGGAGTGATATAGGGGTGATTTAAATATTCAGGACCCCCTACTGAGTTAAATTAAAGGGACACTATAGTTATCAGAACAACTACAGCTTATTGTATTTGTTCTGGTGAGTAGAATCATCCCCTTCAGGCTTTTTTCAGAGAAGAGGCAGTGTTTACATTATAGCTTAAGGATAACTCCACTGGCCACTCCTCAGATGGCTGCTAGAGGTGTATCCTGGGGCAGTGCTGCACAGTGTGTAGCACTGCCATTCAGTGTATCCACTCTCTGCATGGAGAAACTGAACTTTCACATACAGATGCATTGATTCAATGTATCTATATGAGGAGATGCTGATTGGCCAGGGCTGTGTTTGACTTGTCCTGGCTCTGCCCCATATCTGCCTCCTTGACAGTCTCAGCCAATTCTATGGGATAGCATTGTGATTGGCTCACAGAATCACTTCTGATGATGTCAGCCAAGCAGACAGATCAGGGGCAGCAGCTGCAGACTTGAATACAAGTTAGATTTTACTATATTTAGGGAGGCAAGGTGGACCAAGGGGGCAAAATAGTGGTTTTAACATTGTAGGGTCAGGAATACAGGTTTGTGTTCCTGACCCTATAGTGTTCTTTTAAGCTTCTAACTTTCTTTATTTCCCCTAGTGTGTAGGCCTCGCCGTGACCGCCACCCCTCCGCTGGCTTAAATCATGAATACTAGCGATCTCTAGTGATCAGCCAATTCAATGCTTCCACAGCAATGGGAGACTAATGTGCATATGCAGCAAACAGAGCATTTTCTGATCTGCATTTGACACAATTCATCTCTTTGGGGAGCGTTCCGCATTCTTCATGCTTTGCAAAGATGGCAGAATCGCTTCCAAGAAGCCCCTCCTGTGGCTTTTGGAGTGTCAGTCAGTAGAGATGGCTTTAGGCAGCAATGTAAACACTGACTTTTCACATGGATATTTTTCCTGCATGTTTTCTTTGGGAGTATATGAAAAAATAACTTGCAAAAGCTACAGGTCGCTGTCTGCAGCTGTTAAAATCCCTCTCCTTCTTCCCCCAACACAGACTTTGGTGGAGTGTCCCTTTAAAACTGGTCATGCAACTGGTCCTTGATCCTAATGATACTAACATATTGTAAACATATTTTTCCATGCAAAGGACTGGTCAGAAATGTTAGCTAGTTAATGGTGTATAGGTCCAAAAAAATCTATCAAAATGCACAAGTTTGATGTATTGATACTTATTGTAGCACAACAGCATTCCAGCTAGCATTGAATCCTAATGACGTAGTTTACTGATATTTCACCAGGTAGCTATATTGGACATTTGTTGGTCTAACGTCACATGTCTACTTGGCAGCTGGAGTTAGGGTGGCGCATATGTTTATTTTTAAACTTATTTTGCCTGCTCATATTACGTAATTTGTTTAAAAAGCAGTTTGAATATTTTTGGTTGTCTTCCTTTTCTTTTATACTCCTCTGCTCTCCTTTATTTGAACATTAACAAGCACATCTTGAGTAGAAAGTTATCCTTACTAACATTTACACACGTGTAATGTCTATTTGCATCGCAAAAACCACACATTTCCTTATCCTGCTTCTGCCTAAAGGCAGTTTCCCTGAATGCATATTTTTAATTTGTTCTAGAATTACTTGGTATTGTTGCAGACAGGGCCATCTTTAATTTAGATTGGACCCTGGGCAAGCATTTACTTGGGCCCCCTGACTACGTCTAGATACACACAAATACACTACCTGACACACATGCAGATACACACTGACCACATATAGATACACACAAGAACATACAGATACACACAGACTACATATAGATACATAGACACACACACAGATACAAACACTGACATACATGCAGATACAAAGGTACACACACTGACTACTTATAGATACACCGACACACACACTGACAGACAGACACACAGATACACAACCTGACACACATGCAGATATACAGATACAAACACTGGCACATACAGATACACACACAAATACAAATGGACAACATACAGATACAGAGACACATTCTGACAGACGTACTGACACAGACTCACACACAGAAAACCATACTGAAACACACATACACAAAGACATACTGAACCACACAGACACTGATGGACTCTCACACACACAGACATACAGATACACTGACAGACATACTGGCACATATACACACAGACAGACGGATATACTGAAACACACATACACACAGACATTGACAGACATATTGACAAACACAGACATACAGAACCACACTGACAGACTCACACATAGACATACTGACAGACATACACACATTCTGGCACACACACACACAGACAGACTGAAACACACATAGACACAGACGCTGACAGATATACACACATACAGACATTTTGAAACTCACAGACAGCCATACTGAAACACACTGACAGACTCACAGACACAGACATACTGGCACACTGACAGACATACTGGCACACTGACAGACATACTGGCACACAGACAGACAGACATGCTGAAACACACATACACACAGACACTGACAGACAGGGCCGGACTGGGAGAAAAATTCGGCCCGGGCATTTTTTTAACACAGCGGCCCACTAAAAAGGGGGCGGGGCATAGGAGGTGTGTTTTGTCATCACCAATGACAAACACGCCTCCTCTCAAAGTGAGCATGTTGGTTCAATGCTCTTCCAGGGCAGACCATGCGCAAAGCTCTGCTGAAGAGCTCTAGCATGAGAAAAAAGTCCTGTATTTGTTCTGCACAGTGCAAGCAAATTTAATAACATGCTTGCACTGTGTTTCCTTGCAACTTGTCTCTGGTGTCTCTATAAATGGATACCAGGAGACAAAAGGCCAGGAAAGAGTATTGTGCATGTGTTTGGAGCTTGTGGTATTGCGTGTGTGTAGAGTGAGCTGGTCGTGGTGTGGTATTGTGTAATAAGGTCAGTTTTAGTCGTGTTGTGTTTGTGGTGTAATGTGATGCATATGTGGCTCAGGGACCCCCTCCCGCCCGGCTCTGGAAAGGGGTTAAAACTTACCTTTTTCCAGCGCCGGGCGGGGAGCTCTCCTCCTCCGATCCGCCCCGTCGGCTGAATGCGCACGCGCAGCAAGAGCTGCGCTCGCATTCAGCCGGTCGCATAGGAAAGCATTTATAATGCTTTCCTATGGACGCTTGCGTGCAAAGCACGCAAGTGCCTCTAGCGGCGGTCAATGAGACAGCTGCTAGAGGCTTTGGGGGAAGGCTTAACCCATTGATAAACATAGCAGTTTCTTCTGAAACTGCTATGTTTATAAAACAATGGGTTAACCCTAGAAGGACCTGGCACCAAGACCACTTCATTAAGCTGAAGTGTTCTGGGTGGCTAGAGTGGTCCTTTAAGAGTGTTGTGTGTGTGTGTGTGTGTGTGTGTGTGTGTGTGTGTGTGTGTGTGTGTATATATGTATGTATATATATATATATATATACACACACACACACACACACATATATATATTTGGAAGTATTGTGTATGTGTGTGGTGCAGTGTGTTGGGGGGGTTCTGTGTGTATGTGAGGGGTGCAGTATGTGTGCGTGTGAGGGTGCGGTGTGAGTAATGGGTGTGAGAGTGCCGTGTGAGAGTGCCCTGTGTGAGATGGGTGTGAGAGTGCTGTGTGTGAGAGTGCTCTGTGAGAGTGCTGTGAGTGTGATGGGTGTGAGAGTGCTGTGTGAGAGAATGCTGTGTGTGTGTGAGAGTGCTCTGTGAGAGTGCTGTGAGAGAGTGCTGTGAGTGTGATGGGTGTGAGAGTGCTGTGTGTGATGGGTGTGAGAGTGCTGTATAAATGTTATTGTGTGTGTGTGTAGGGGGGGGTAAATAAAAAAATAAAATAAAAAAAACAGGCATTATTCCCCCCCCCCCCCTTCTTACCTTTAGCCTGGAAGGGAGGGGGGGACCGGCACGCTGGCAGGCAGGGTGGCAGTGTTCCCTGGTGGTCCTCGTGGGTGAGTGAACTCTAGCCTGTGAGGCTAGAGTTCACTCTCGCGAGATCCGGTTGTTGCCATGGCAACGCGCCGGATGTCGCGAGAGGAACCCGGCGGAGCTGCAAGCTAGAGCTCCGCCGGGTCCTCTCTCCAGCCTGGCTGGCTGTCTCCCTCTCCCCACCGGCGGCCGCATGTGGGCCGGTCAGGGAGATCCTTGATCTCCCCACCGGCCCGTCGTGGCACAAAGCGGGGCCGGCGCTAGGAGAGTGCCGGCCCTGCATAGACCGGCAGGGGAGATCCTGGGACCTCCCCTGCCGGCCACGGCCACCGCGGCCCACCGGGCATTTGCCCGGTGTGCCCGATGGCCAGTCCGGGCCTGCTGACAGACAAACACACATCCAGACATTTTGACATACACAGACAGCCATACTGAAACACACATACACACTGAACCACACTGACAGACTCACACACAGACATACTGACACACACAGACATACAGATACACTGACAGACTTGCACTCATGCAAAATTTGATAACCACCCTCCAGTTTCTTACCTTTTCCTGGAGGGTGGCTTCCCTGGGGTCCAGTGGGCTGGCTGTGGTGGCTGGGAGTTAAGCTCCCGGCCTGGCCCCCTCCGGAACAGCTGGTCCGCCTTCCTCCCGCGCGGATTCTGTTTCTGTGGGAGGAAGTGACGCACGGCTGTCACTTCCTCCCAGTGCTGCCGAAAAGCAAGGGCCCGGTCGCACTGTTAAAGCGCCACAGCACCCGACCGGGCCCCTGCTGACACAGGCCCACCGGGTGGCCCTAAGTGCATGGGCCACCCAATGGACCCCCATAGTTTGCGGGCAGAGGGCAAACAGGGTAGTTACCTCGGGCCCCCCAGCAGGGACAGGGCCCGGGGCAGCTGCCCCGTTTGCCCCGCGTTAAAGATGGCCCTGGTTGCAGATAGTTTATAATGTATACACAGATTTTAAAAGGTTCTTATCCTGAATTCGACCCAGCTCATTATGCCATATCAGAGGGTTTTAAGTTGAATCTTCTGATCATACAATATGTTTAATGTCTTGATCAAACTTCAACTGTTCAGTTTAGCACTTTACAAACACAACTTAATGGAACACTATAGAGTCAGGAACACAAACATGTATTCCTGATCCTATGGTGTTAAAAAAACATTATCTAGCCACCCTTGCCCTCCTAAATATAGTAAAATCTTACATTTATTCTAGTCTGCTGGCTCTGCCCTTGATCTTACTCCTTGGCTAAGATCATCAGAATTAATTATCTGAGCCAATCACAATGCTTTATTATATGAAAACATTGGATTGGCTGAGATTTCCAAGGAGGTAGGGTAGGGGTGGATGCATTTAAAGGGACACTGTAGGCACACAGACCACTTTAGCTCATTGAAGTGGTCTGGGTGCAAACTCCCATCACCCTTAACCCTGCAGTGGTAATGATTGCAGTTTTTATAAACTGCAATAATTACCTCTGAGGGTTAACTTCTCCTCTAGTGGCTGTCTATCCCCTTCGGCGGGGGAGGAGCATGGGCGGAGCTGAGACAGCGCTGAGAGACATCAGCGCTGGACCCACGTAAGTGACTGAAGGGTTTATTAACGGCTTCAGTGCCGCGGGAGTGGGCCTTGACAGAAGGGGAAGCTATAGTGCCAGGAAAACGAGTTTGTTTTCCTGGCACTATAGTTTCCCTGTAAGGTCAAATAAAACACCTCCTCCAGCATCTTGCATACCTAATACTGTTTAGGTAGACTCTATTAATTTCTCTTGTATTATTCTCATAAGACCTTTCAGTAGTTAGTGACCTGATTTAAGCAATTTTCTCCTTAAAATGGGCACCAATTCAAAATGCTTATTTTTTCCCCGTATTCATTTTCATCGCTAAACCTTTTGTTACAACTCATTTGCTCTTAACCTTCTATACAGAGTATATGCATCATTATTTCAAAAAGTTGTGCTCTCACTTTTCTTTGCGTCTGTGCTTTTTGCCAATCCATCTGCAAAATTAGCTAATGGATATTTTTAGAGGTATTTAGGTGTTTTTGACATTTGTGCATGCTAACCGTGATCATTGATACCAATGTAAAGGACCACTATAGGCACCCAGACCACTTCAGCTCAATGAAGTGGTCTGGGTGCCAGGTCCATCTAGGGTTAACCCTTTCTGCTGTAAACATAGCTGTTTCAGAGAAACTATGTTTACTTTAGGGTTAATCCAGCCTCTAGTGGCTGTCTCACTGACAGCTGCTAGAGGCGCTTCCGCTCTTCTCACAGTGAGAAGACGCCAGCGTCCATCGCATGCAGCCGATGACGGGGAAAGGAGGAGGAGAGTCCCCACCGCCGAGGGACCACGACGGTGGAGAAAAGGTAAGGGATTAACTCCTTACTCACCCTAGAGCCTGGCTGGAGGGGGACCCTAAGGGTGGGGGGGACCTAGAGACCCTATAGTGCCAGGAAAACAAGTATGTTTTCCTGGCACTATAGTGGTCCTGTAACGTCTAATGGGGACTGCGTATTTATGTGACTTGTCTTAGACTGAATCTTCATAATCTAGCATTAAAAGGGACACTATGCACCATAATCAATATGCCCCATTGTATTGGGTAAGTTACAAAGAGTATAGAATGCCCCCTTTAATTAGAATATCTCTTTGCCATACAATGTTGGATGTCTGTTGTCATTTATTGCCAGTATAGCTGAGCTACAGCAGAAAGATAAAATCTTTGCAACTTACAGTCCTCTTTTTGTAAAATCACCTGAAAATTTTTTGATATGAACTAGTCTTTGTCCAATAATCACTATAATGAGCTGTAGTGGTTGTGGTGCATATAGTGCACCTTTACTTATGTGTCCTTATTGATATACTTTGATTGGGGCTAATGGAACATAAATCATATTTTTCCTGTTTTAGAAATGGGGCAATTTCTTATCGGTTCTCTATTGGTTAATCACTTAAATTGGATATTTTGCTAGGATGACCCTGGTGCCATTCCAGGATAAGTAGTCAAATATCAGTGTGTTAGTGGTCCAGGGAGCCTGGTCTCCCATGGCTATTAGAATCTGTGAATTACCTGGAGTGGGTTGCTGGTAAATTCTGTGTCATCCAGATTGATGTAAGAAGCAAGGGAAGAAGAGTAGAAACTTAAAACCAAGAGCTTTGTAATCGTTATGTAATAAAATAGTTATTTTCTATTGAAATTATGACTGTGTTTTTAAGCTGTTGGCAAAAGTACTTTTGCCTCTCTTAGTTTTTTGTTTTTTACATAATTGTTTGTGTAGCTTGTTGAGGAAAGTGTTTGTTTTTTGATATAAGCCGATTACTTTTTTTTTTGTGTGCGTGTGTAATTTACATCCAAGGAGGAAAGATCAGTTTTTCCAGAGATTTGGAATGTCTGGTTATAAAGAACAGTTGAACTTTAAAAAAGCCTATTGAGAAGTTGGATAGTCATCCGATTCCTCTCTGTAGAATTGAGAAACGGTTCTTTATTTACTCACCAAACTGAGCTTCTCTGAATACCCTTATTCAACTCCTAGGCTATCCGGGTGCTGTCACTCAATGGGGTCTTTTCATGTCTGTGTGTGGAATGGGACTAAAGGGTCTCCACCAAGTAAAGGAAGTATTATTCTGTTTTTTATTTACTTGAGTTTACTGTGATGGTGTCTTTATGAACTCTCTCCATTTGGGAATCCACTCCAACCAGTGTCTAGGAATTCTGTCCCTTTCTGCAAAATTGACTTCAATGTTTGATATTCTACATTACCCAGAGGACCCCATAGTATTACTTTGGGAATTTACTTTATGTAGATGATGCAGAAACATATTTAAGAATTTAAATATTACAAAAAAATGTTTCTACAACTCTCCAAGTAAAAGTGCAAAGAATCATAGATAGCGATGTTGCTTGCTTAGATTCTTCTGTATGTTCACTTTTTTAGGATACCCTCCCCCCAACCCATTTTACTAAATTAAAGGGACACTATAGTCACCAGGAAAACTGCAGCTTATTGTATTTGTTCTGGTGAGTAGACTCCTTCCCTTCAGGCTTTTTGCTGTAAACACGGTGTAACGGATCGCCTGGCACCCCGACTGGGTACCTCCGTCAATGCTCCTAGCGCTTCCGGAGGGCTCCAAGCACTCCAGCTGATACCATAACCACCGTAGACTCCTTCAGAGAGCAAGACAGGAACAAGCTCTTAAAAGAGCTTAAAAGTGATTATCCAAGGGAGCATGCAGAGCATAGCAATCCCTTGTAGTGATATAGCAATTCCCCCAATAAGAGACTGGACTCTAGATTGAGGGTGAAGAAGAACTGACTGTACTGGCACATACAGCCTCTTTTATTCACAATCCACAAACATAGTACTGCCCACAGGGTTTTGAAATACAACCAATCAATCCGTACAATACACACAGACACTCCCACACAAAATCCTCCCCTCTGCTTGTGATATGATTACTGAACACAATGGTTAATATAATTATCACAGGCAGAGAAATACAATATTATA